CCCGCGAGCCCCGCGCGGGACCCGCCGCCTGCCCGGCCCCGTGCCATTGCCAGGAGGACGGCATCATGCTGTCCGCAGACTGCTCCGAGCTCGGGCTCTCTGCCGTGCCAGGGGACCTGGACCCCCTGACGGCTTACCTGTGAGTACGCACTCTGCACGGGGGTCCCTCTGCTCCTCCTGTTCGGTCACCCGCTAACACCTGCCTGAGTCATCACTCTCCAGGTGATGTTTTGCATGAGGGCATGGATAACCAGGAAGGGCCCAGACGAAAGATTAGACAAATTGTGAGTCTGGGATTTCTCTGTCCGCAATTTGGTCAGTGTGCTTATCCGCTTGCCTTCTGGAACGGCCAGGCTAAGCAGCCACTCCTCTTTCCCCAGCAGACCAGCCTGGTGATGGTGACTGAGGGCAAAGATGACTGAACTGGGGGTGGAGATGGGGGTTTTGGTTAGAGCGCGCAGAAATACTGGCTGTTCCTCTGCCCTAGTTACAATAGAGCTGTCACTGTGAGGCTGGATGGTCTTGGGAAGATGGCCTAGGAACTGGGAGAAGGCTTTTACTCACCCTTGTCCTCTCAGAAAGGGACTCTGCCAGTCCCATCTCCCTTAGCTGAGGCCTCCCCGACTCCCTTAGGGGCCTCCCTGAAGTCACATCCCAAGAGGCAGCGTTGGAGACTCTAATTTGTGGGCAGGCAGTGAGGCTGAAAACCAAGGAACCATTTTTAGAGTCCAAGTTGAGGTGAGGTGGTGCATAAAGGGAACCCTATTGGGGGCTGCTGTCTTCAGGGCAGCTCAAAGATTCTTCTTGTCAGAGCAACGGGTCTAGGGGGCTCTGGTTTGATGCCTTCTGGGCAGGAAGAGGGTCTGGAAGCCTATTCCAGGAGGTTCTGGGAACGCCTCCTCCACCGCTGCTCTGGGGAGAAGAAGCCTCCCTCAGCCCAGCCCAGCCCTGCCCTGCATGGGCACCATCATCACCCTCTTTTCCTGAGCAGGTGAGAAAGCCAGAGGACCTCTCTCTCAGGGGTAGTGTCCTGAGGCTCCTTCTGGACTGAGTGGGTCTCCTTATGGATTTGGGATTCTAGGACGTGGGCGCTCTGAGAACGAGGGCATCGAGGCTGGTCAGTTAGTGGAATTCTATGGGACCAGGACCCTCAGTGCTGGGCCATGCCCTGTAGTGCATGGGGATCCTGAACAGCAATCCCTCCCTCCCAGTCTCCATGTAAGAGGCTCAGGCTCTGGGCCAGAGGAGGGAGTGAGAAGGAGTGTGGTGTTTACTCTCGGGAAGGGTGGATGAAGCCTTCACTGGCCAGGGAGCGGAAAGCAGGAGGTGAACAGGAGACGGGCAAAATCTGCTAGTCTGAGCTGAGCCCTGGGCAGTTGTGGCGGACCTCTGCAACTGACACAGGAGGACAAACTCTGGTCTTTAACTGTACAACCCCCAGGGTAACCCCACTTTTAGCTGTATTTCTATATACGTACATGGAGGGCCAGAATGGTCTGAGGGGCCAGAGGACCTTCAGAAATTAATTGCCTCAGCCTCTTCCCTTCCCAGAACCGAGGTTTTCCTAGCTTGATGGACTATTTGCCATTTTATTCCCCCCAGAAGGACTGGGGGAGGGAGAAGTATAATGGCACCTTTAAAATACAAGGCTCCTGCCATCGCATCAATGGAAGAGTACCTCCCAAGCCTTCAGCATTCCCCCTCCACTCAGTGATGATGTCTGCATTTGGGTTAAGTGGAGGTGGGGTTTGCTGAGTTGTACTGGAGTTTACCTGTGGACTGACAAATCTCTCTCTTGGATGATGCCTCTGAGAGTCTGAGGGGCGTGTCTGAGGGGTGCGGGGAGAGGGAGTATTGATTGGAAGCAGTGTGGAGGATGTAGCAGTGCTGAGTGGAATAAGTACTTGGGACAGTACTGTGGCAGGGTCCTGCTGGAGGACCTGTGGAGATGGGCTCCTGTGGGAGAGCTCTCCTGAGAGGCGCTCAGTGGAGAAGTCCTATTTCTTTTTCCCTCTTAGGAGAGCAATCCAGCTTGCGAGGGGGTCCATGGAGGTGAGGGTTGTCACAGAGAAGAATCAGGACCAGGAGCCTTGGGGGGCTCACGCCCCTTCTCTGTGCTGTCAGGAAAGGCCCAGGGTGGTCCGGCTTCCTCCTCCATTGGTCTGTTACAAGAAGCACCAGCACTTGCTGCAGACAGTGCACATTGGTATCTGATGTTATAACCCGTGGTGCCTCTCTGTCTGGGCCGCTCCAACCTTGGTTCCTTACTGGCTCTGCCACTTAGGCAGAGAATCTTCGAGCTCCTCCAACTAAGCCTCAGGCTCTTCGGGTGCGCATGGAGAGAAGCAGGTGGCTGGGAGAATGACATGAAATGACATGCAGGTGTAAGGTACCCAGCACTGTGCCTGGCACAAAGGAGCTTACACGTGAGTGGTCACTGTTGCCATCAGGCCTGTCGTTGGGTGCTCGGTGGAGGTGGACCCACGTCCTCCATGGGATAGGAATTGAGTCCCGTGGGCGACTGTGACTGAGCTCACCTCGCTCGGTGTTTGGCTCTCTCAGGGACTTGGCATTCAACCAGTTGATGAATACCGGGGCCTGGGATTGGTGAAGGGACGCAGGGCCCCCTCATTGAGTGTTATAAAGGTAAAAATGAAACTTCTGGAATAGGAAGGAAGTGTCAGGGCCGAGGATACTTGGAGATCGTACAAGGAGCTAGAGGCTGAACTCTGAGCTATTAAAGGATTACAGCCTCCAGAAGCAGCCTGTGGGCTTCTCACATGTTCCTTAAACAAACCCTGGTCACGGTCACATCACCTCTGTGCACCCATACCAGGGAGGTGAGTTTCTCTCCTCCTAGCCATTGTCTTTCTTAAAGCAAACACCTCTGCTCCCTCCACCTTAGTTCTCAGAGAACACCATTAGTCTTCTTCATATCCATCCAGCTGGCAACCTTGGCTTCAACAGTCAAGTCCAAACCAATCACCTCTTGTTACTTGAGTTCTGTTTGCTCAAGTCTAAGAGCATAGACTTTAGATGACCCTAATTTTTCAAATGCCTCCTTTTTTTTCTTTTCACCTGTCTTCCTCCCTCCTGCCTGCTTCCCTCCAGAAAGGTTTGAATCCATGAGCCACTCTGTGGGCCGATGATGAGGCAGTCTGCTTCTGATAAGATTTACAGCCTCAGGACCCCGATGAAGGGTCGTCGGGAAGCAGAATCAACTTGAAGGCAGTGGTGTGGTTGGTGGGTCACCCACACTGTAGCCTCGGCGAGACTCCATGGAAGTCACTAAGCTTCACACATTCTCCAAGGCTAGGGCTTGTTCTATGACTTGGGAGGAGCTGGGGAGACAGAGCGCCTGACTCTCTGGGGGTTCTAGCCTAACGGTGCAGAGACCCACTTGCTGTCTCCCATTACACATGCGCTCCAAGATGAGGCCAGAGCGAACAGTCAGCCCAGCCAACATCTAGTGCTGCCCCTGAGAAGGAGAATCCAAGTAGTTATTCCAGCCTTTCCCTTTGCCCATGAAGCAGAGAAGTTTCTGGAGATGGACGGCATGAGGGAAGGTGTTTTGGGCAATCATCTGGAAGACCTGAGGCTCGCACACTCGAGGACCCGTCACCATGCCATCAGGGAAAGCCTCACTGGGCTGCTTGCTGCATTTGGGGTCTTCATTCTCTTTAAAACTACTTGTTATAAACACTGAACTTTTTGAAAGGTCAGGGGTGTGTGTCTGATTTATGTCCTCTTCATCGCTGCCCGAGGTGATCTGTGACCAAAGAGATACAGACAGGAGGCCGAGGGGAGAGAGTGGAAGGGACAGAAGGCAAGGACACTGGCCACAACAGAAAGGAATCTGAGGCGTCACTTACTAGCTGTGTGAACTTGGGACAGCTCTGTGACTCAGTTTCCTCCTCTGTAGAGGAAGCTGATGTCAGCCTCACAGAGCTGCTATGTGGATCCGATGGCGTCGCGCTTGTAAAGGGTTTGGCACGGTGTCTCCCTCACTGCGAGCCTGCTTGCTATTCAGTGATCAGGGTGGGGAAGGGTTGACCAGGGACAGAAGCCAGCACTGGAAGGAGTAGGGTCACACAGCTCTGTGAAAGGGAGGGCTGGGGTGGGGCTGTCTGTGTGTGGGGTGTGTGTTGGGAATCTGTGAAAGGGCAGAGAGTGGCTGGCAAGGTGACAGAGGGAGGAATTCTGCTGGGGACCGGGGGACAGCATTAGTTCATTTTCTCCTGGCTGGTACAGTCTTGGAGCTTCCAGGGGTCAGAGGGCAGGAGGGGAAGGAAGCAAGTGATGGCAGCCCCCTAGCCCACCCCACAGGGTGCTCTTTATGGGCCTTGCAAGGCGATGATTTGAGAAGCAGAGTAGCGTGTGGCCTCCATGGAGGACAGGGGCCTCGAGAGGAAGTGTCTGGAGTGCTCTGAGCCAGGGTTCCCGATGCCTTCCCTGGCCTGACTCATTTTCCCTTCCTAGGAGATCCTCAGTTCCTGGGGTTTGTTAGTTTCACCTCTCCATCTCTCAGTTGCTGTGTGAGCTCTGTATGTGCCAAGACTCCTCTGGACTTCAATGGCTACAAGGTTTGGTCAATCAGCATGCAAGAGGCGACGGGTAGGAAGCAGTTCTGAGTCTCTCGCACCTCCCCTGCCTGTGCAGGACGAGAGTGGACCCTGGGGAGGGTGTGTTGGCACCAGGCCGTGGTGAGGGAGAAGGAGGGAATGGGAAGAAGCCGGGCAGAACCCACACCTGGGCCCCAGGAGAGAAGGGCAAACGAGGAGTGTCCAAGAAATAGGTTCCTTGGGGTCTCCTGTGCTAGGATTACCCCAAAGTGAAGCCTGGGGGGTGAAGTTGGCAGAAGTCAGACCCCAGGGGGTCACAGGAGGAGGGTGAGTGTGTGGGGGAGCCAACACCCCAGTTAAAAGGAAAGGCAGGAAACAGCCCTAGGCAGAAGAAAAAGGAAACCTCTGGGCTCTGGCAGCAGCGGGCACCGGGCGCGGCCGGGTGGGGCGGCTGGCGGAGGAGAAGAAAGCCTGCCTCAGAGCAGTGTTGGCCCCCAGCCCACCTCCATGCCACCCCGCCTTCCCCCTGCCATGGGCTCTCAACCCTATGGCCTTTCCTGTGCAGCAGACAGTCTGT